GGGTGACATTCATAGATTGGCAATGTCTTGACACTATAATGAGTTGTCTTGACATTATGTACCTTTATAATTATCCACAATAAATTTCCTTATGAGATATGAACTGACAGATTATTTTGGTTCCTGAAGCTGTAGTGCACTATCATCCAAGTACTTTAGGAATATTTCATAAGAGAATATTGCTCTAAAAAGAAAAAAAGCACATCCCCAAACCAGACTGAAATGCAGAGGCTACACTTGCAAGTCAATAACTGAGTTTCTTCAAACTGAAAGTACTTAGCCATTGTCAAAAGAGATTTACTCAAAGTCACACATGTATGAGTCATTATAATAATGTCTTTTCAAAAGTTTAACTCTGTAAGAACAGGAATATAGCAATATTTTGGCATTTTAGATACTACTTTTGATGGAAACATTCTTGTGATATTAAGGCAAATTTCAGAAAAATAAATAAAAAGAGTAAAAATATAATTAATTTTTTCTAACATCAACCATAACAGCAGAATATGTTGGTTTTTAAAGTTTACAGAGTTACAGTGCTGTCTGGTAAACAACAAAAAGACATACAAAAGAAAATTCTGAACAGCAGTTTGAAAGTTCTTTACATAAAACAAAGAAAGGAAGGCATAAGTAAGTTGCAGCAAATAAGTAACTTTAAATATATGTGTCTAAAATAATTTCACTAAATTTTTTGTACAGCATCCAGTTAAAATTTTCCTTCCCGTAGATCATTATATTCCAGCAAAAAGCTTCTGATTTAACTAATGTGTTATGTGCTAAATGCCTCTATTTTTTGGTTCCTTACAACTCAAAAATAAAAGACATGTTCTTAACTGAAAGCAAAACTGATCTATCTGTATGGTACAGAATAGAGAGATTCTCAATTATTTTTTCTCTCAGTTTGCTCTTTTTCTTCTCTAAACATGAGATAGTAAAAGCTGTACTTAATACTGACTTTACCAGATATGGCATGCTCAGTAAAAAAGTGGCATGGTCTCATTTTTCTTAATTGATTTGAAAAACTAGCATGTTTTATTATTTTATTGAACATGGCACAACTTGTAGTTGTGCCTGCTATGTTGGAATGAGTATATGATGACCTCTGGATAAACACTGGGCTCTCTAAAACTTTAGGTCAACAAATCACTAAAAAATTTCTTGTTATCTAACCATGCTAAGTTCTACATGTTTTGAGATGACTGATGATAATCCTGCAAGATTGTAGATTCTTTTTAATTTAGTTGGCTTTAGTTTAGTTAATTTATTTTTCACACTTAACTCTGTCATCCCAGGACCTAAAATTTTGTAATTTAAATCTGAGCTTTTTAGTTCAGATGTTCCTTTGCTCCAGAAAAACAGTTTTTTCAAAAATGGAAGGTTTTAGATTATCCATGCAAAGAGCCATAAGGTATATATAATTTTAGAGGATACAGTGCCATCAGACATACAATGAAAGTCAAGGAATTAGAGGCAGCAAAGCATTTTCTGTAGAACTTTGCTCTCCAAAAATTGTCAGCCTACTGGTCTATACTGTTTTCCTTTCTGTTAACACAGAAAGATAACAAAACAGAACAACTGTTTCAACATAGAATTTATATTAATACTATATGATTTTTTTCCTCCCTGTGAAATCATAGCATGGCTTTTCAGAGCAATTCTATATAAAAAAGGGACAAATTGGCAGCATGGCTTCTTGGGAACATATTGACCAGACAGCAGGGCTCCTCTTGTAGCCCATTTGCTGCCAGTGGGATGACTGGCTCTGGCAGTTAACTCAGAAATGGAGCAGGGCAGCAAGCCTTCAGAAAAATGTTAGACCTGGGGCTACATTAATTTCACTCTCTGCCTGAATTTGCCTCTGAAGCATATTGTGTAGAGTCATGTCATTATGGATCCATCTCTGTGGGAAAAATGACTCAAAACTGACCCAAAGAACTGCAGCTGTTGCTCTCTAAAATTAGTGCTGCAGGTTTTATGCATGGTGGGGAAAACAGGAAACATTTCTATTGCAGTTTGGGAGAGTGACTGAGAATCTGTAGAATTGTTTCTTTTTCCTTCAGTCTTTCACAACAATCATCCAAGAATTCATTAAAAATATAAAAGAGTTATTAGAAACAGACTAATCTCAACAGAACCAGTACAGATCTTTTAAGACAGTAAAATACTTACTTAGTAATTCATTTTAAAGGTAGAAGGTAAGTTTTATTTCAGTGAGCTTTCTTTGTGTCATTGTATGTGGGAAAACAAACGGGGGATGGAACAGACCACAGTTGAACTTGGTGTTCTGGCCTTGGTTGGGTACAGACCATGGGATAGGCAAGCATGGATGTGAAGGGAAGAGCTGGAAAAAGTACAGCATATGCAGATATCAAGGTTTTTAAAACTGATTTTGTGAGAAATTTTTGCTAGGGCTGTCACTGCTTGGGGCTGCAAAAGTGTATAAACTGAACTTACTTCAATGACTTCAATGACTTCGATAACTTCAATAAATGACTTCAACTCCTTTTTTGCTTGGACTTCAATGACTTCAGCTCAGACTCTGACCTCTTTTTGCCCAGGCTTTGATTTCTTTTTGCTGGAGCTTCTTGCTTAGGCTACTTTTTGCACCCCTCCTTTGAAGTCCTGTCTCTCAGTCAAGCAGCAATCATATATATATATTTTGAAATAGTGACAAAATATAAAATACTGAATCATCCCTGCTTCTAAATCATCCATATTTGAGATAAGAAACATGCCTTTACAGTCACAGGTAATTGTTTTTGAAGCCTCCAAACTGTGGTCCATGAATCACTGCCAGCTATAATTATTGACTCAAAAGCCTTTGAAAAAATCTTTGTTAAGACTATATTCTGTAAACTAACTGCAAGCAGGATTAGAGGTGTGTGACTGCCTGGATAAGAAATTGGCTAAGAGATGGCAGAGCAATGGTTCCTGGATTGTATTCAGCATTGCAGAGACCCTTTCGTGGCACACTAGAAGTAATGGTACCCAATACATTTATCTATTGCTGGATAAAAATATGTTATCAATGAGAAAAGAGATCTTGCATAGTTATATTGCTTAGGTAAAATCAAAGAAAGCTGTGAAGCAACCTAGGAAGACCCAGTGAAGTTAGACGAGTTGACAAGAGATGAAGGCATGCTGAAAGAAGTATTCTGAAATAACATTAAATTATGTTAGAAGGGGTAATGGAAATGTTGGGGGTTAGGTGTCTTTCTTTTTAGTTCTGGCTTGCCTGTGGAATTTTTACCCATTAGTTTTGGGGAAAACCTAACTGTGGGTACTTGGTGGGTGCTTGACAAAACACAAAGAGTTTGGCTGGGTCCAGGGGGGGAAGGGGGCAGGAAAAAGGAGCGTGGGGACACTTTGGTGGGCTTTCTTCAGCTTTGGAGAAGAATACTTTAGGCGCGGAGCTGCTGCGGTGGGGAGAAGGGAATTTTGCCATCACCCAGACGGAGCTGCTGCTGCTTCTCCTTCCTCCCTCTTCGTTGGTGGCCTCGCACCCCCTGTCCTGCCGGGACGTGTGGCAGTGCCAGGCACCGCCAAGGAGCTGCTGATACACCTTATCCACCAGCCCAGGATCTCAGCTCATTCAGGATCTCTGCTGTTCCAGCTGACTGTTCCTCAGAGCCCTGCAGGAGCACCGGGACTGACTGCCCGAGGGGTTTGTGAAACAAAGCCTCTCCTCCATCCCTTCCCGTCTCAGCCAAGAAAGCTGTCACGGGGCCCCTGGTTCTGTTTTCTTGCTAATGCTGTAGTTATTGTTGTTTGTTTGCCTTGTTATAAATACTAGTAAAGAACTGCTCTTCCTATCCCCAGATCTCTGCCTGAAAGCCCCTTGATTTCAGAATTATAATAATTCGGAGGGAGGGGGGTCTACATTTTTTTCATTCCAAGGGAGGCTCCTGCCCTCCCTAGCAGACACCTGTCTTCCAAAACAAAGACAGGAAAAGATATCCAAAATAGTTTGACACATAGTTTCAGATGCTATAATTGCTTAGAAGAAATATCCTTATAAAATCAAACTGGAAAAATAGTTCTAGCACTTTTCACCAGTCTTGAGCATTAAGTTAAGAAGGAAAAAAAAAACAGTTGTTTATGAATATTTCAGTAAAAATATCACTTCTCTATATAGGACAATATACAGAGAATTCCTCATGTGAAATGCCATAATCAGTTTTGATGTTCCTTTCTCAAAGTGATACTGTGTTGGGAATGTTGTCTGTCAGCAAACAGAAAAGATTTGTTGGCTTGGGCTAAAATAAAGGATTATAAAAAGCAGTAACTATGTGTACTGTGCACTCTAAACTATCGTTTTTCATAATAAAGGATATGAAGAGATACAAACAAATTTAAAGGAAATACATTTCATTTAAGAAATGTAGGGGGGATACAAAACATAGTAAATCCTATGAAGCCAATTGTTGGAAAGATCTTCACCTTGAGACACCACCTTTGCATTAGTACAAATACATACAGGGCATGCTATAACAATCACTTCAGATCAAGAATTAGAATGTATGTGCCAGTGCAAGGACCATTTCTTAACTGACAAAATTTTTGCACTTCTGAAATTTGCAGTTTGCTGCAAAGACACGGCTCTGGAGCACATGAAAGAACAGTGTAGGGTAGCAATTACTGGGTTCAGAAGAGACTTGTCAGACCAACCCTGACCTTGTCAGACCAACCTTCAATTCCAGGCTGAAGTGATTGGGTTAATGTTGGTGGCTTGATCCCATGTTATCCTTTGGTCATTTTCTCAGTATGTATGAGCCAATAATCTGTTAGGTTCCTTTGCTGTGTCTTTCAGAATGAAGGATGGAAGATAAGGGAACCTGACCCTGCTGATCACTCCAGGTGAGTGAGACAAGACTGGCTTAAAATATATGGAGACTGCAGCAGATACAGAAATGAAGCAGTGGCTTTTCAGGCATGTGGGGTAAAAGAATTACTGTAAGCAGAGATCAGCCTGAGGTCCAATGATGTCCTCCACAGCTCACCTCCTCCTGGATGAGCTGCAGACTGACTATCCAGCTGTCACTAATGGCATTTGAACTTTTAGGGTCACTTATATTCCTGCAAGGACTGGGGAGCTTTATTGTGATGTGTTCTTCAGACCTGGATTGTAAAAACTTTTTACAATCAGCTTTTTACATTATCAGCTTTGTAGCTAATAATGTAACCCAGACAGAGAAAAAGGAAAAAGTAGTAAGGCAGTTTGGAAAAACCAAATGAAAAGCATGCAGAAAAAATACATTGCATATTTTAATTTCAGTAAGAGCATCAATTTTCTCTGTACAAGAATGCAATTAAATAATTTTTGTACTGAAATATGTTTGGTAAACAGAAGAAATCATCAGAAGACCCATTCCACTGGGTCATAAACGTGATGTGATTCATAGAAGGCAGGATGAAGGTCTTGCCCAAGACCTGGCTCCCTGTCAGCTGCCAGAGCAGCAGCTTTTGCCCTTGCCTTCTGGTAAGCCAAAACAGACCAGGCCACACAGGCCACTCCTGCTCTGCTCCTGCTCTGCACAGAGGCCAGAGGCAAGACTGCCCAAGGCCTCCTGCTTGCCATGGCTGGCAAGCTTTCATGCCCTGCCATGGCACATGGCACCATAACTCACCCAAAAGTGGCAATGCAGGACCACTGGGCCAGATGAGGATGATGGAGATGGCATCATCAACTTCAATCAGACTTTCAATCAGACTTTCAATCACCCTTTTTGCCATAGCTCTTCTGCTGCCTGTGGCTCTGCCTCCTTCTTGGCACTCAGCACTCACAGGATGGTCCAGGCCAGGCAGAGCTGTGGGTGCAGGGTGCCTGCAGAGAGCAGAGGTGAACAGTGAGAGGCAGGTGGCCTCCCTGGTGTCCCCTGGCACAGAGCCTTTGTGCATCCCTCTTCCGTAGCAGCATAGACAAGTTTGGGATTGCTATCCCAAAAGAAGGTGAAAGGAATGGCAGATTTGTCTTTACAAACAAGCTGTGGATCTGCTGGTAGATAAAACTAGCACTGAGAGATAAAAGAAACAATGGGAAGGATTCCAGTGGTTGATGAATAGAAAAAAGATATTTGCCTTTACAAACAAACTGTAGGTTTGCTGATAAATGAAACTGGATATTAAAAGATAAAAGAAACGATGGGGAAACACCATAAATTACATAAGAATTAAAAATTATACTTTAGAGGGGAATCTTAGGTATCAGGCATTCCAGGAGGAATGTCCCTCTCAAGTACCTCAGCCAATAGGGAAAGAGAGAGGGACATGTGGCTGGGAAATTAAGATAAAAAGGAGGCTGCATCCTCTAAAAATTTGAGAGACCTCAGGGGAATGCACCATGGCCTCTCCCTTTATTTGAATAAAGTAAAAGGACTCCTCTGCCTCCTTTTTGGACATAAACCTCTGGTGTTTGTGGATTAACTTTCCTGACAAAGGGAGATGCCCTCTTGGACTGGGGCTTTCTTTCCTTTGCCCACTTTCCCGATGGTAATTGCAGCTTTCCTTAGCAGGCCCTTGCAGCGCCTTCTCCCCAAACATGTGGCTCTGCCACCTGCCCAAACCTGTTGTGGAGGATGAAGCAGGGAAATCTTATGAATATGATTGTTTAGCAAAAGATTCTGAAAATATGAAGCCTAGAATTGAAGTAGAAATGAGACCTAGCTTTGAGTCATGGGATACTAAGTGCTAGTTAATAAATATCCAAAGAACAATAGCCTAGCCAACTAAAGGAGAATCCCTGTTGGTGAAACAATGTCTTTCTGCTGACAGAGAATCCAAAGGTCAAGCAGCAAGAGAAAAATTTGTAAAGCTTTTAGAGTTTGAAATGTAACACTGTATGGTAATGTAGTTCTTATAGGGTATATGTAAATTCTTTAGTGGGTGTGTCCCATAGTGATTGGTTACTGGGAATTAGAATATTCACTATAGAAAAAGTTATATTGGATTGTAACAGGAATTTCTCTCTCTTACTCTTCCCACCCTCTCAACTCTCTTGCTTCCCTCTCTCTTCTAAGCCTCCCTTGTTCTCCCTGCTCTCTCTCTCTCTTGATTCCTCTCTCTCCCTCTTTAACCTCTCTTCTCCTGCTCTCCCTGTTCCACTCTCTCTCCCTCCCGGACCTCGTGGATGCTGAGGCTGGCAGTGGACATACATCTCTCCCTCTCTTTACCCTTATAATAAACTGCTTATACCTGAACAGCTTGACCCTGGAGAAGTCTCTCACCATGAGCAACTCTTGTGAGCTACAATACAAACCCTTTTACAGGTTCTTGCCCCTTTTTTATGCAATGGGGGGATTGCCTGGGCAGGCCTGCCTGTTTTCCCCCAGCCCTCATCACTGTTCCTTGCCAAATCCCTCCTGGATTCCAAGGCAGGCATCTGCTAGTTGCTCCCAATGACACCAACCAACACTTGTTCCAGTTCCAAAGTTTCACTGATTGCTCCAGCAGTGCTGCCCACAGATAAGTGCATCAACTTGAGGCAACTTGAGTTGAAAAAGGAAATGTATTACAGCTTGTTCTACCTGTGCTTCTTACGTACAATTACAAGTTGTGTTACAAGTTTACTGCACATAGTTACATCTCTGCTGACTCCATAGCAGGTTACAAAGATCACTGCCAGTTCACAGCATCTCATCACTGACAGGTTACAAAGCGGCACCTGCACAGATCCATGTACAGAGGGAGAGTGACTAACATCCCTGCCCCCCTCTAAATACCTACAGGGCTGGAAGGAAACTGTCCAGCACAATGCAGGTTTATGTAGACAAAGATACAGAGATAAACTGGACAACAAAATGCACATTTACATAGGAATTGATGCAGAGAGAAACAACGATCTCCATTGTGTAAATATATTGAGTTCTGTGTAAAAATGGCTGTACACAACGTGAACCCATACAGAGCCAAACAAAGAACTGTGTAGAGCTCTACCACTCCATACATACTGAGGTAGAACTGGAGACAGATGGAAACATAACTATAGACAGGCACAATGCTAACCCAGTACATACAGGAGCAGAACAAGACACAGGGCAAACATAGCTGGTCTATTGCCCCCCTGTTGGTCGCTGGGTCCTGAGCAGAGCAGCCCTTCTGGAAACGTCAAGCAGATGGACATCTGGGAAGCAAAGGGAACACTGAGTCACTTGCAGCCTGCTCTCAGCCCTGCCATAGCCTCAGAACACCCACAGCCTCTTCAGTCCCTCCAAAGCCTCCTAGCCCATCAGTCCCCCTCAGTGCTGCCATCCCCCTGAGCATCCCCAGCTCCCTGAGCCCTCTCGGCCCGTTCCTCCTCCCCGCCCACCCAGCCTCTGCCGCCATTTCCCTCAGCTCCCCCAGAGCCCTCAGCTCTGCTGCTTGTCCTGAGTCCCCACTGCCTTACCATCCTCTGGGCCCTAGGCACCAGCAGCACCTCAGCAGCAGCACAGTGCCTTCAAAGGTGCTCTTCCCCCTGCGGCAGCCCCGGTGCCCTCAGCCTTACTGGCTCCTCAGTGGCTCCCCGGTGCCTTGAGCCCCGCAGCCCCTGAGGGGGACGGTGCCCGGTGCCCCCGGCACTTCCCGCCACTCCTGTGAGGGGCAGGCAGCCGGGACCGGGGGCTGAAAGTGCTGCTTTGCCTGGCCTGGCTGCCAGCCTGCAGCCCAGCACGGCCAGAGACAGACAGGGGTGGCACAGCGAACAAGGCAGGAAGGCACAGGGGAAGCAGAGTGGGGGAAGAGGGAAAAAAGAATCACCTCCCTCTCTCAATAGCAAGAAACCTACCTTCCTAGCCATGGAGCTAAAGTTTTTGAAATAGAGGCCTCTAGATTGAAACCTTATCTCAAAAGTGCAGCTCAAAAGACATCTACATGGAGAAGTGGAGAGGTTTTGCAGCTGCCCCATCTTCACAGCCTTTCCTTCAGCCCCTTTCGCCCGCATTGAGTACTCCTCCTGCAGAAGTACAGCACATGGCCATGTGAGAAGCCAAGGGCTTGCATAGGAGCTCTTGCCAAGCCCTGGCCAGCAGCCCTTGGCAGCCCTTGGCAGCTCTTTGGGCTGACTGAGGGCAGTGTGGAAAGAAAGGCAGACAGCAGAGTCTGGCACCTCCATACCCAGGCTTCTTGGCCTGCTGCAGCCTCCTGCGTTGTTGGCGTCTCCTGCTGTCCCTCTTCCTCCTCTTCCCCTTGGGCATGCATTCTCCATCTCTGGCCCAGGCCTCTTCTCACTGTCATTTCCTCCTGGGTTCCTCTACCTGGGGGTAGTCTGCAAGCCTTGACATGCATGGTTGGATTAGATGGGCAAAGCCAGGAGGCACAAGCTAAGTCACTTCTTGCTGGAGCCAATGCAAGCACCTTTTACCTGCTCTACTCAGGAAGGCTTGTCAGGGCTTTGGCCTCAGCCAGTGCCTCCTTGAGGCTCTTGTTCTCTTTGCTTGGAGGCAAATCTGGCAGACTAAAATCTAAAGATTTAAAGATTTAGATCTAAAGCAGAAATTCTGGAGGTGTGTTGTACTATTGTAGAATATTTCAGTGCTTTTAATTTTCCTCTTCATTGCCCTAATTTTTTAAAGTTGTTTTTAATAATAATTTTTGGTGAGCTTTCTTTTATCATACATGCTTGCTCATGTTTCTGTCTTTGGGACTCTTTTTTTCAGTGCATTGCATTGAATCCAATATCACCATTTGCAAAGCTTTTCTTTTTTTTTATGCAGTTGTCAGCAATTTGTTAAAAATAGCTACATTATACTACCATTAAATATTCATTAAATTGAGTTGTGGCAGGCTATGAGAAACATCCAATTTAGCTGTTCACTTTCTACACAGAAGTCTACAAATGAGCAGTCCTCTTTCTTTTCAATAATGCATCACAGGCTGCCCTTAGTATCTGTAAAATAATTGATAAGGCAAAAGTTATTTGCAAAATACATACTAGAAATAGAAAAGTAGATTAGAGGAGATGATTTTGCCTTGGGACTTTCTTCTGACTGTGGGAAAAGCACAGCATACTTTGATTTAATTTTTACATAGCCTTGGGGAACCTGAAATGCCATACCTAATAATTCAATATTTTCTATTTCTGACATTAATTATGTATTACTAAGTCTTAAAAACCAGAGCAGGAAAATACATCATAGGCTTTATTCACCCTGAAACTGTTACAGGGCACTAAATACACCTGGGTCCCAGGCAAGGCACAGTGATATTTTGGATCTATACAGCTTATCTTTTTTCGTAGCTGACTCGCTGGTACACCTGTGGATGTGTGTGTGCGCCCAGGCTACAGCTGGAGGCAGGACTGCCATCTGTGCAGGCAGAGTTGAGCTGGCTGGAGCAGCAGTGACAGCAGAGGTGAATTGGCTCAGGCTTCAGCGTAGCTCAGAACATCTCTCCGGATACCCAGGGCCAGCCCGTGCTGCTGACCCCTCCCTGGCACACCGACTGCAGACATTAAAGCTAGCTAGGTTTGCTATAGGCCTTATCAAACAGCTCCCTCCTCTGCAGTGCAGACCTGCCTCAGACCCTACACTGGTTCTGCCAGAGGGGTGAACAACCTGCAGTGAGGCACTGCAGGGACCTGGGATCTGTGCCCTGAGCTGGGCTGCTCCATGGCTAACAGTACCACAGGACAGTGACATAAGCCTTGTGCCAGCCTCCTGTTTCCCCAGCCCTGGGCATGTCCAGATACAGAGGTTTCTGGTGAAGCCTCTCTCTTCCAGGTTATACATTCCATGACTCTTGTATACTACCTATCAGTTTCCATTTTGCCTTGCATGTATTTTTACCTGCTGTCACTTGCTCATTATTTCTCACCTGACTTCACTTACTGATGTCAGTTTTAATTCACCCCTCTATTTAATTTCTAATTCCAGGGCATTATTTTCAAATGTACTTTCTGGTTATTACCAAAGCCCTGTGTACATGTTGGCCCTAAACTCCATGGGATATTGGTTCAGCAGATCAGAAACAGTTTGGCCATCTCATTCCCATTTAAAATGTAGGATTTGACTTAAACTTGAAGCAAGGCACTACAAGATGTATAATACTATTTTTTCCTCTCTTTTTTTTTATTGTTTAACTTGAGATAAAATTACAATTACTTTTTTTGTTCCTACAGTTTAGTGTTTGACACACAAAATCTTGTATTGACCTTGCACTGATGTCAGAGGATGGGTCCTATGAATGTGACAGCTAACAGTGACCACCTAAGCTACTTAGAGCCTTACAGACAAAGGAAAAAGCCTGGTGAGGGGCCCAGCACTGAAGCAGGACATACTTTTTGATGTGGCTGAGAACTATCTGCCACTGCAAACCCCAACCATACCAAGAAAAAGGGGTGAAATCCTGGGAGAAGGAAATTTTTTGGAGTAGAGGTAAAATTCCTACCTCAGAAGTAGGATTTCTTATACGACAGAAGTGAGAATGCATGTAGGAACTCAGTAAAAAGCTCATTCTTTACTAATTTTTCAACTTGCCCTTGAGGCAGTTATGGAGGGAGGCCAGTCCTCCAAAAAGCTTCCACCTTGGAGGTCTGTTCCCTAAGATAAAACAAAACTTAGTCATGATGACTAAGCTGTGGACCCCTTCCTGCTTGGGGACCCCATGTTATCTCCTTGTGAAGTACTGGTCATTTTACCCCGGTCTTAAACCATTGGTGCTTTTCCCAGTTCTCCCCTTCCCTATAAAAACCCCAGCTTTTGTCCAGTTCAGGGGATGTGGCTGTCACTGGCTCCCTTCACAGAAGCCTGCCAATAAAGGACTCTGGAATGCTCCGTGGCCCTCTGTCTCTTCTACATGTCAGCTGTGGTGACTCATGAGCTGAGCTGAGCTGATAACTATAGAGCTGAATCACATCTAAAAGAGCTGATCACTTGAAGCCTCAGGGGTCATAGGGATTACCCCATCTGGAAACTGCCTGAGACCCCTGGACAGCTGCTTGTCATGGAACCCCTGTGGTTCCATGTGTCTGGGAAGTCTGTGGCAGCAGACAGGGGTCGGAGAGACCCCCAAAACCAGCAGCAACAGGCAGTGTGCAAGAAAAATACTTTGTGAACATTTAGATTGTTTAGTACAGTATTGTTATTAATATTACATCTCAATTAAAATATTTTTTAAAACTATGAAAATAATACCTTTTATATCATAAATGCAAAGCACAGAAAATAACAATTAGAGATGAAAAGTAAAGCTGCAGTTTTGTTTTCATACTTTTTTTTCCATGTTTTCTATATTTTTCAGGAAATCACAAATTTACTCAGAAGTCCAATCTATCTGAAAGTCCATGCTTGTCAGATGTATATGTGCTGAAAGAAGAAAACAACTTCTCTGCTATGTACTGGTATGTATAAATAATACACTTCACTTATTGATTTTCTCTTGTGGTTTTTCATATCCATCAACAATTTCTATAGAAATAGAAACAGAAGTTTGAAGTTTTAATAATTAAAATGCTGAGATGGTAAAACTGTGACATAAATGAAACAAAACCTAGTCAGACTGTGATCTTTTATACTGGTATGTATGGAGACAGTGGCATTGTTCCTTAAAAAAGGCTTTTACAGATTTTATTCTGTGAGGCTTGCCACAATTGTGCCTGGATATCAGAGGAAATCTTCCTGCCAGGCATAATTAGGATTGCCAGCTTTTGAAGTTTGTCTTAGTATTTACAGGGATCAGCTAAAGCCCAGTCAAATCAATGGAAAAGCTCCTGGGATGTGTCTCTGCTGTGCCAAGTACAACAATATTAAGCAATGCCTGACTTGGTGTTAAGTGAGCTGCCTTGTGCAGAGCTATGCAAAAGGCAGCAACCAGGGGCTAGAAATGAGCACAGTGACAGAGCAGGTTAAACCTCAAAGAGGATTTGGTTGCAGGGGTTGCTCACTCTCAGCTGGTGCAACACCTCCCTGCAGTTAGACAATGCATGGCTTGAGCACTATGAAACCATGAATAGTTTGGCCTCCAGCTGAAACTTAGGCAGTGTCTGATAATCAAATGTCTTATGGTTTATGTACTTCTCACCACATTATTTACCCAGTAACCTGCAGGAATATAACATCACTAGCAAAAAGAGGGTGTTTGAAAACTCAATCTACTTCTTTACTGCTAACCTGTCAGGTAATGCATAATCCCTTAGATCTCTTATCTGAGGTAACAGTCCTAATGCTTCCATAATACTTTGAAACTTAGCAGGTAAGTATGCAGATTTTAAACTAGCTTGTAGTAGTATAAATACAAACTTGTGCAAGAGAGTTTTTCATAATATGAGGAGCAGATTAGCTATAATACCACTTCGGTGAATTTTATGTTCCCTTTTATTTTCTCCATTAAAATCCTTGCAACTGTTTAGAAAGGAGAACAGTAACCACCATATTCTGCAGTGCAGAATGATTCTTCATGGGCTTCTAAAGCCAAAAATAGATGATGCATAGAAACAGAGTGGTCATTCATACTGGAAAGTTATTATGAAAGTGATCCATTTGGCAATTTGTGAGCCTCAAAGAGAAGTTTGTGGTGCAAATAAATTTTGTCCTACATTCCAAATGGAAAATGCAGGGATTATGAAATACACTTAAGGCCCTATTTGCAAATTATGGACTTTTGTTTCGGGAGTTATCCTTTGTGCTGTGTTTCTTAAACTTGGCAGGAAAAACGCATTGGCTGGAAGAGCTCAAAAAACTCTTAAAATTGGCAGCCCAGAATGAGCTTAGTGAGCTTTCACTGCTTTTGGGCTTGAGTTTAGCAATCCATTTTTGTCCAAATTAAGTCTGGGTTCATTTCAGCACCAGCAGTATAGTTTGTAACACATTCTGTGATAAAGAAGCAGCATTTAGTGAATCAAAACCTAGGGATGAAATAAAAAAGCCTCAGCTTTGTGCTTTTACTGACAATGTTAATTCTGCAGTCTCCAGTCTGAGGTGGCTCTCATCTGCTCAGCAGTGTAGACAAAATTGAATTCTGTGGCCTTAAGGTTACGAAAAAAATAAGTAAACTATGCTTCTTGTTTGGAAAGAAGATGTGGTGCGGCTGTGAAACCATCCCCTTCCAGCAGTCACTTTTAACTGTGCCCTGTCTGACCTTTTTCTTAGACTCTCTAGCAGGAAAAGCTCTTCAGTTGTCCTGTGCAGGCAATGTAGTTGGTAAAAACTTTTCTGCCCCTTTCTGGAATGATTTTACCCTGGTTAGGCTCCACCACAGAAAGCTGCCTGATCTTCCTAAGCTTGCAACTGGTCCAGTCCTTTGTGTCCAAAACTGCTGCCTTCTCATTAACTACACCATTGTTGAGAGAGGGTGGTCATATTTTAATTTCATAAAGGTGGAATAAATGGTACTTGAAGCCATCTGTTGGTGTCAGCCCCCAGCATCACTTTGAGAAGAGCGATTATATTGAAAAGAAAGTTCTGTCTCTCAGTTTTTACAGGAATTGCTGATCATATGCAAAATGCTAATGAACTTAATTATTATGTATTTTCCCAATTTGATAACCATAATGTGCCAGCATTTTGGCTATTGAACACTTCACATGGTTATAAAACACTACAAAACAGGATGTCTAGTGAGAAAAAAGTGTTTTGATCTACAAAAAATGAATGACAGAACTTCAGAGTAGAGCAGGGTAATGCATTTTCAGATTTCTGAGCCATCTTATTGCTGCACTGGTTATTATAGCAGTATCCTTGCATACTTTGTCTGGAGTTACAGATTTATTAAGAGATGGTAAAGAGGCTGTTTTGTTGTGTTTAAAATGGGTAATAAAACTATAATTACAGGTATGAATGCCTGTTCTTACTTAAGTTCTAAATCCAGAATTTTAACACTGATGCCTCATTAATTCCTGCTCTAGAGTTTTACATCAGCAAACTCATTTAATATCTTTAAAATATGCAATTTACTTTCAAATTAAGCTGGTTTTTCTGCATGTAAGAAAGATGTTCCATCAGATAAATGAACCAAAAAATGTTTAACTTTTCTTTAGCCTTTTACTCTTTTCTTTTCAAACAGAGAACATTAGGTCTTAGAACTTCAGATTCTAGGGAACATATTAATTTTCCAGTAGCCCAAAATGAAGCAATTATTCTGTCTCAGTGCAAATGTGACACTCAAGGAGGTACACTTTTCTTAAATTATATTTCCATAAATTACTCTAAGCCTTTCTAACTAAGCTGTGAAAAGGTAACATGATTGCTCTCAAGTACAAAATTTGGAATAAAGCCAAGATAAAATGTCTTCTACTTCTTACTTGAAGAAGAAAACTTTAGAAAAATAAATTGACAGTATCAATGAAGTAGATACATTTTCTGTTTGAACCTTGTGTTCTTCCATTTAATCTATCAAACTGCAAAATCATTTCCATTCAGGCACCTGTCATCTTACACTTCTTATGAATAATTTCTTTATAATCTATTCAGAAATAACAATAACTACTGTTAGAATAGAATTTAATAATACCAAACTGAAAAGTTTTAAATACTTTCTTATTCACACTTTTCTTTAATTATTCATATTAACAAAACCATTGAATATTGAGATAGTGTCTAAACTAAAAATGTTAACTAGTTTACAGTTTGGTTTTACAAATGTTAAATTTTTATGCAGTGATTATGTGTCTTTGTCTGTCCCCTCAAAAAACTTCTCTCTTCAGTTACCTACTGTAAATCAAACTTAATGTTTCAGAGTGTGAAGCTGATGAGGTTTTGTGCAAATCAGAGGATAACTGGAGAAGAGGATCCAGTGCTCTCCTGTGTGCATTGAGGGAGGAACAGCCATAATTCACAGCCCCATCCCTTTTAAGAGGCAGGAATCGGATGCCTCAGTCAAGATGTGCATATGAGATGATCTTGCAGCACTTTGACAGCTCCAAACCAAACTGGCATGAGCTGATAGTGCATGAGTCAAGGAGGAAGGGACGTCAGAAGAAATGGGGAAATACTGTGAGGAAGAAGAAGGAAAGGCAAGTGTAATAGAAGGAGGCAAGGGCAATGTGCTGAGTGTGGTAAAAGTATTGGGGAGGTGCCTAGAAGGTCCAGATATAAAATTACAAATAAGGAGGCTTCCTGTTGTGCTCTTTGTGGAGGAAATCTCAATCTCTCTGAATCACTCTTGATAAAATCAGATAAGAGGAAAAGCTATGCACTCACCTGAACAGCAAAGCATTGTACTTTCACATGGAACTTTAGGTAGAGTAAGATTTATGTAAGCAAAGCTGTATTAAATTTAAAACCAGTTTCATATATACTTTAGGAGTTTTTTTGACAGTTGAAGTGCAGACTAAAAATGTGATTTACTGTTGCAGAGGGGAAATGAGAATGATGGATGAGTGTGTGAGCAATGTCCATGATGTACAGTCCACCAGGCTGACGTGTAGGACAAAGCAAAGTCATTCAGATTTTATTTTGTAGGAAAAAAGAATGTGTTATGTGAAAAATACGTGTTATTTTAGTTTCAGGGGCAGGGTTGCTACCCAGTAAAAAGGAACTTCAAAGGGGCCTGAGTGTGGGACCATGGTTTGCCATTGTACATTGTACATTGTACATTGTACATTGTACCTTGTTCAGAAAGTGCTGATGTTGACAGGTACAAATTTTCAAGACAAAAATGCAAAAAAACCCTGGACTGCCAGTTTGACTAAGTGCATATTATTGTTACAATGTTTGTTAGAATTTGATGACTGACTCAGAATAAAACCTTACAGATCCAATTTACTTAGCATGCCAGTAGTGTACTGGCATAAATCTATGTGCCATTTACATGGTATTGGAGAACAGACTTTTGTGTAGGAGAATAGACTCACATGTCTACTTTTTAAAACATTATGGAGGGGGAAAGGAGATTTTTTGTTGACAATACATGGATCCTATTACTTGGCAAGTCAATTATCAACACTTCTAAAATTAAATCAGTCCTCTAAACAAAATGAAGAGTGTTTTTAACACCTGCCTAAGATGCATTATACATTTAAAAAATAACAGTAATTCACTGTTGTGCTAGTGAACCATCAATCCTTAGTTTAGCCACTTGTTGACTATGTGGGAACTGCATGAATATCAGGCTACAAGACTACAAAATAACATGTGATTTTAAAATATTTTGCTCTTCAAGAATCCTTTGATGCAGAGAATGCTGATTGGGAGGTACAAGAGCTTGCTTTCATCTTGTGATAAATAAATTAATATCCCTTTCCCTGGCTGTGGAGAGGAAAAACTTAAATAATTATTTTGAAATCAAGGATGATTTTCCTCCCATGTTGATATGTTGGAGAGGAAAGATAATAATAAGAATTAAGAATTTTACAAAACGTCTCCAAAGGGTTCATGCAAGGTTCACAAACGCTGTTCAGAAAAAAGAGAAAAAAGCTACTGTACTGTAAGTTTGTACTGTGATTCTTACTCTGAGGGTACAATTGACCCTCAATATGAGTAGATTTCCATATTTAGTGTAGAAGTCTTTCCTAAAAATGGGCTTCTATGGAGTTGCAATTCCTCTGTCCTGTCTCTGTAGTGGGTTCAATCTGGAAAACTCTGCTCCTTCTGTGATTCATCTTCATGGTGCTGTTTTCAAGGTACCTGCACATTTCACACCTCTGTGAAATACATGTCCTGGACACCTGGTACTCAGCAGCAGCTAATCTCTTTTACAGATCTACTCCTCCTGGGCTAAATCCACTTACTGAAATAAATATAGCCATATGGAGAAGACTTAGCTGGGGAGAGGATCAAGAAATGCTAAAGGAATTGGGCAAAATGGGCCTTAAATGTGGCATCTAGGACTATATGAGAAGTAAGAGCTGAGCTAACTCCTCACATTCTTTCAGATTTTCAGAAGACAAAAGTTAGGACTGGAAACTGGGGATCAGCAAATTTACACAAGCTTTTGTTACCAACATATCTAAGCATATTAAAAAATGACCCATACATAGTGGAAGGAGTCTCTCCCTTCCGTTCTGATGTTAGGAAGTACAATATCATTTAAATGACTAAAAAATGACTAAAAGATCAGAGCTAATCTTGACATATTTCTGCAATATAACTGAGTATTTTTGGACCTGACAATGAAATCTTGTTTCACATCAGGAAATGCCAATATATATCTCTCTATTACCAGGTTCTTTTCCTTGGCTTTCCTTCTTTTTAGCCCCTGAATTTGCCTTGTAAAAAGTAATGACACAGTAGATCATAATTCAGGTTATATTTTGATGCAGGCAGTGCTGTGCCACTCATAGCAACTCTCAGCTAGTTGCTCTGTGCTAGAAAATGAGCCTCACCCAAGTTCAGGTGGAGGCACTTTTGCAACTAATGAGAACCTCATCTGCTTCAAATTGTTGGACCATCTCCCCATATTTCTTAGGATGGTGCAGGCAGAGGTCAAGCATTCTCACATCTGTCACAAGTTCTTCTAGCACTCAGAATCTCAGTCAAAGGCAGCTGCATGGTGTGTGAATACCAATACCAAATTTCCAGAGCTCTGTTCTTAGACAAGGAACTCTCCTGATCCATGTTTTCTGGACAGTCCAGTGATCTATATAGTCCCAGGCAAACTCCCTCTTAGTCTGTTACCAGCAGAACCCTTGCCACAAGGGAGGAGCATAACTGCAGTGCAGCATCTCTGCTCTGCATTTCCCAGGCCAAATAATCAGTATCAAATTGATCAGCCTGGGAAATTCTTCCATGGAACTTACTCAGCTTAAAAGATCTGCTTATGATCTCTGGATGCCTGTCCCTGCCCAAGACCATCTACCATGTTTATCATATTGCATTCCCAGTACAGTGCTCACACTAACAGAAACTCACATGTGGATTAAAGTTCCCTTCTCCAAATGCTCCCTTCCCAAGAGCTTGCTATTTTTAGCAATCATTTTAAGAGCAGTGCTGCTGTACTGTGTCTTTGTGTTCAAGGCCATGTGGCCTTGCTGCAGGGAGTCAGGGACAAGCAAGGTCTTTTAGAGCTGATCTGCACAAACTCAGCCCTGGAAGTGAAATTTCTATTATTAACACACCCATGACACTAGCCAAAGTGGAAACTATAAACATCAACTCTGAAGGATATTTTGCTGCCACTGCAGCTCCTGATGATGCTACTATTACTACCTCTGCTTGACAGCAGTAACAAGGCATGGCTGTGAATCAAAGGAAGTTAAGGTCAGAAAGGAAAATAAGGCCTTTACCAACACTATCCCTGAAAAAGTGCTGGCCCAGACTTCATTGAAGTGCCTGGTGTGGTGCCATCTGCTCCAACTCCAGGAGAGAGACCATTCAGAAGAAAGCAGAGCCAATGACCAGTGAGATGAACCACAGTCATGAGTTCTTGATTGCATTTTTTTTTCTTTTTCTATTACACATCTGTTTACATCTGGCATCATCTTTTTCAGTTCATTCAGTTTCTTTTGCTAAAAGAATATTCATATTCTGAATCAGATCTCTCTTGATTAGGGCTGCAGCTTGTGGCAGTGGTATCCTAAGTGATGAGCCACTTAAACTCCTGTCCTGCCTTTGGTGCCTGTGGTGCTGGAAAACTTCTCTCTTTTGTACTTGTGGATTATCCTGCTCTGCTCCAAGAACTCCATGTAGCTCCAAGGCAGTGGTTGGTCACCTGGATATCCCTAGTTTAGCTTTCCCTCATCCTATATGACGGCTGCCTTTCCCTAGCCTTTTGGCCTGCAGAAACAGTCAGTCTCTAAAGGTCAGTCATACAAAAGGGTACCCTGAAGTGTTGTGTCCACGTGCTCTTTCTCTCCTTGAGAGTGGAGTATGAAAATAATGTGCTGTTTGGCGAAGATGGGGGCATACCGGGGGTGTTGCTCTCAGCCAGACTTTGCTGCCTCTGTGTTGGTCTGTCTCTGCTCACTAGACAGGGCACCTTTAGTTGTCCTGAAACTGAGGTGCCTCATGTGACCCCAGCTGGGACACACACTAAATGGAAACTTCCCCTTGCCCTGAGTAATGTCTCCCACCAAACTCTGTATAGGATTTCTTGATTCTCTTTTTTGCACCTGATCTGGAGTTTCCATAATGTCCATTAGATTTCTCTCTTCTTTATTGTTGCTTCTTGCACTGTTGACACCAGGTGGAGGAATATGCATAATTAAGAGATTTTTATCAGGTAGAGATGTGCCTTATTCAAGAGCTGTCCAATTGGTCCTGGCATTACAAAAATTAGTACAAAAATATACTGTCTTGAGTTGCAATGAGAGGTGTAGCCAAAAGTATGTATTTTATTACCATCTCTTGAAACCAGGTGGGGCAGTGTTCTTTATCTCTTCCACCACCCATCCTCCCTCCAGGGGGATCTTCTGTTCATGGGCCATTGAGTCTCCCTGCAGGACTGATAAAATTACATCATCCCATTGGGAGATGCTCCACCCAGGGGGAGGAGCCAAACATTCCTACCTGGATATAATCTGAGACTTGGAACACCACAGGCAGCCTTTCTCCACTGGATTCCCAGGGGAGAGAGACCAGACCCATCAACACCAGCATTGGACCTTCAGAGGAAAACTACACCCTTCTACAGGATCAGTGCTTCAACAGAAGCACATCTGTCACTCCAGGAGGACTGCAGCCACCATTTAATGGGACTGCTACCAACACCCTGACCAACAGGGAGTCAGGTTGTATTCTTACTCTGTCAGCGGTTTCTTTTTTGTTGGTTTTCTTTTTTTTGTACTACTGCATTTTTATTTTAATTTTCTTAGTAAAGAACTGTTATTCCTCTTCTCATATCTTTGCCTTAGAGCCCCTTGATTTCAAGATTACAATAATTCAGAGGTGGGGGGTGGTTTACATTTTTCCATTTCCAGGGAGGTTTCTGCCTTCCTTAAGAGACACCTGTCTTTTCAAACCAAGACAGATATAAAGATCAAAAAAACTTATTGCAGCTGTCAGTATGGAGAGCTGAATGAGCAGTTTTGGCTATGGTTTAAATGCACAGAATAACATGGATTTCCATGAAGAATCTGTACAAAGGGAATAGTCCAAACCATTTTTCTGTGAACATCTGAATATAGTTGCCTGCATGGGAGAAAACAGCAGAAGTATTTCTTGATGGGAGAGAGAAGCTCAGGTGAGCACCTTCCAAACAGCAAAACACTTGAATCAGTGCTAGTAATCTACTTTTAGAGAGGTAAATTACACCCCGACTTCCTATCTCACTTGTGATCTCTAGGTGTTACTGTGCTATAAATAATAATAACACTTCTTTTGGCAAGAGAAGGAGATTGAGAAATTAACTAGGAGAAAGACTGTTTTTTTTTCATTTTACAACATATGGATGATCAAGATGGGGAAGAGAATGTGCTGAACTTGGAAGGTTTGTGTGAGGCTGTGGTTCCACTCCTCCTTGCATGATTTGTGACATTTCTTTTCCTATACAGAAGTTGGCAGATAAAGTAAAGATTAAAACACAATGACAGGCAAATTTGGAAAAATTCAAATAGTAACTGCCTGACTAAATTCTGCCTGTGAGATCTATAAATCTGTCACTTTCATGAACATAAGATTCTCACAAATCATTAGCCAAAAAATGGAGAGAACCATCACTGATTTTCACAGAAGAAAAACTAGTTGCAGGAACAATTTAACTATCTTTCCAACCATGAAAAGCTATCTTACCTTCTCAGCCAACATTTTGTATGTCTGTGCTCACTTACAAAATAGAAACAAGAATCACTATGTCCACTAGTGATTGATATTACACGAACCTCTC